GGTCGGTGCCCGCCGGCCTGTCAGCGGCCCGGCCCGGCTTCCGCCGCCTCCCCGGACCTCTCAGTGTGAACCCGGGTGTGCTCCCACTCCTGGAGGTGAAGCATACCTGACAGGGACCGCGGGACCTGCGGTCGGGGGCCAGTTGTGTTTACCTTTCCCACCAGGCGGACGCTCGCAGCAGGAGGTGTAATGGGCAGCGTTTCCTTCAAAAGGGCCTTTGCCTTAATAGTACAGTCTAAGAATGGTTGTCCTCAGGCCACAGGACCTTATCGTTGTGCAGCTGTTTGAATGCTTTTAAAAAAATAAATCTTCAAACTCATTCTGCATGTTAATGAGTTAGTCTGTTTTTGTTTTTGATTTTAAACATCTGGTGGGTCGCCAAAGCTCAGTGTCCTTTAGAATTGATTTTCCTAAATGAATCCTAATCTTGGGTCTGAATCGGTTCAGAAGCTAACTGTTCAGTCAGGACGAAACTCCTTTCTGGTCATTGGGAACGTCTAAAGACTTTTAACTCTTGAAGACTTACTTTTTTTTTTTTTTTGCACCAGCACTTTTAAGCATTTGGGTGAGGCAGTGCAATAAGTTTTTGGAAAGTGCATTCCATTTTTACTGTTCTTGAAACACCAAATTAATTCCATTTTTTTCTTGACTTACCATCAATATTATGAAGTCAATATTTTGAAAGAACTGGAGACCACTGAGCAGTTGAATTCTCATGCCAGATTTTAAATCGTTTTTTTCTGCCTCTAACTCTGGTATCACTTGTCAACTGCCTAAATTCCTTACCCACTTCTGGTTATAATTTACTGCTTTTATCTGTTGTGGGTTTTGAATTTTGATAATTACATTTGATAGAACTGTGTTTAAGAGTGAAAGAGAAATAAGGGAAGGACTTGTGTCTTTTTACTTTTACATAATTTCTCATTTTGCAAAATGCCCATTTTAGAAAGCATTGCTAAGAAAGAAAATTAAAATCATCTGGGATCTTAGTACGGAAAGATTGCCTTGCTAGCATTTTGAAATATAGTCTTAATTTTTAAAATTAGTAAAAAAATTATAGTCTTTGGCAAAAACAAAACCAGAATTATAGTATATACTGTTTGGAACCCCTTCTGATAACATATCTTATCTGGTCTTCCCATTTCACTAATTTTTTCTTTGCACATTTATAATAGACAGAATATTTCATTGTGCTAGGAGCTCTAATAAGTAAAAATAGGAACCCTAGTGCATAAACCTTGTGCCATCTATTTAAGCAGAGGATTGTTGGCTTTTGTTTTGGTTTTTGGTTAAGGTGCATAGAG